AAATGAAACACAATTTTGTTGGTTATGTTTCGACTATACTTGTCTTACGTCATCTCGTTCACAATATAAAGTACCCTAATGAGACCTAACCATAGCATCTTTTGTGAGATAAAAACCCTCAACTCTCAACGATACATGCGGCACCAAAAGATTAGCACGGGCGTGCAAAAGATAAAGTACCATTAAAGTCGACGTCACAAGTATAATTTGTTAAAGAGCCTTTTAATGCGAAAAAGCAAACAAATTCCAACATTAAAATGTTGACCTAAAAATGTTCCCCCTCGTTCGTAGTGCCGTCATCCCGACTCCCGCGTTCTAGATCTGCTTTATACAACCCGGTTTACATGACGGCGTTGAACTCGGTGATAAATTATACTATTCCGAAGTTATTTTTAATCATCTCGAAACACAAACCGGATTTACTATTTCTAAAACGTGGTTTTGGAGTGAAAATTCGTCGCCGAATATTACGTGGTCTGCTCCACCGTAATTGCTTTAATTTGGTTCTTCATTAACAAAAAATATATATATATATATATATATATATATATATATATATATATATATATATATATATATATATATATATATATATATATATATATATATATATATATATATATATATATATATATATATATATATTTTAACATCTACTTAGGAACATTTTATATAAATATTTAAGAATTACATTTAGTGTTTCAAATAATCGGTCATTTTCTTTAATTTTTTTTACTAAGCGAATAAGAATCTCGTAAAAATAAATAAATATAAATTAAAAGTTCAGATTTTCACGAAATTATATATTTTGACAAGACAATTGTTGTGTTGTTGAAACAATTGTCATGTCAAAATATATAATTTCGTGAAAATCTGAACTTTTAGTTCTCATTTAATTTGATTGATGGATTTTCATCAAATAAAAGCCACCTCAGTTCAAGAATCTCGTACTTTGGCTTGTATTTTTACCATTTCTTCGAGAGGGGCATCTTTCCCTTAATACATAAAAAAATTCTGTAGCAGCTTAACTGAATATAGGGCTTGTCGAATGGTTGGGGGTGGTCCCAGATCAACTTCTTCATTTTCTTCTTCCTCTTGGTGCTCTTCCTCACCCTTTCTTGCTTGTTGTAATATGGCTTCTTCTGTCAAGTCTGCTGTTGTAGGAAAATCCCGATCTATTACCATAAAATCTTGCAACTCCTCACTTCTAAACGTGACTGTTGTTTGAAACTGCTTTATTCACTCGCTTAGTGGCTGTTCGCATGACGATAGGAGTGTTGAATTGTTTCTGCTGTCACCTCTTTCCAAGCTTTATTAATAAAGTTGACTGCATCTAGAATATTAATGGAAATTTTGTCTTTGGACTCGATTATTAATAATTTCCTCCCCTTTAATCCTGCATCTCATTTCGGTATCTCCTCTTAAAAAATTTGCGATGTCATCCTTGCAGAATTGTTTGCCTTGTAATTCACCGGCAAATGCTTGATGTTCTTAAAACATCGTGGATTAGTTGATTTTCCAATCACGACTAGCTTTCTTTTTTCTCTCCCACCCAAGTTTTCCATCCACACACTTTTCGCTTCGAAATTTAAGAGTTTTATCTGGCGTCATTTTGTAAAAAATATCAGTTTCGTCAGCATTAAAAATGTCGTCAGCAGTGTACTTTTCTGCTAGTTTTGGCCACGTCTTCTCCAGCCAATAGTTAGTGACGTTTCTGTCGACATCACGGGCTTCGCCACTTATCTGTCCATAATTTATACCATGTCTCTGTTTGAACTTCTCCAACTGTCCTTCCGAAGCCTTGAAATCGATAATGCCAAGCTGTTCAGCAAACTTTTCTGCTTTTAGTTTTACGATAGGTCAAGAGAGTGGTACATTTTTAAGACGTTGCTGTTGGAACCACTGCAACATTGTCCGATCCAAACCTTCAAATTTTGGTTTTCTTAGTTTTTTACTGTCTGCCGCTTCAGCCTCTTTGTACTTCCAAATCGTGGATGCAGTCGACGCTGTAAGTCCGTATCGACGTCCCACATCACTTTTCTTTTTTCCCCGTTCTATCTCCAGAATTAAAGCAACTCATCATCTAGAGATAAAATTTTTCGCTTTCTCGCCATGCTCGCGGTATACTGAAATCGTAAACGGTTTGAAGAAATTATTGTATAACTTTTATGTTCTTCTTATGACGTCGTCCTTGTCAATCTAAGAAGGTCGCGCTAGCCATCAACGTAAGTCTTTTAGAAATGTTAGTTTCCTTCTTTCAATTCTTCGACCATCAGTCATCCGAGACGATGTTAACGTACATAGAAATTGAGTCCATAGAAACTGAATAAAAGCAATTTTGTACTGTATTTTGTGAAATCCTTTCTGAATTTTGCCAAAAATATATTCCCAGAAGCAAAACTTATTTGAAAAAAATGTTCCAAAAATGATTTATCATGTTATCTAAAAACCTTTTACATCAAACCAATTAATCAACTACACAATCCAATACCTCTGGCCCTAATTGTTATACTTATTTCAAACAAATATGTTTGATAAACGGTCTCAGGCTATCTCAGAATTGTGAACAACGCATAGCTACATGTATGATAGAAAATTGAAGCATAAATATGGTCACCTCCATAATACTTTAAGTGTTGAAAACTGTAGCCCCCCATAGATGATTTAATCATTTACAATAGTCGTTTTTCGCTTATGTTTGACATGAATATTAATCCGCAAAACCCAACCCCTGACCACCGTTTTAAAAGCCGGAGTTGCGACCTCAATTTTATTAACCATTAACCACATTTCGTGGGGCGGGCCTCACTCGGGGAATATTTTTCCATTTTTTTAGCTTAATCGCAAATTCTAAGCCGCACACGAGTTTTACATTCAAATAAACATTTCAAAAAAGGAAATGAAGTTTAAAAAATAACTCAAAAAATTTCCGATTTGTTTTTACCTCGTGTAAAACGGTTACGTGTGGCAAACGGCAACGATAAACGTTTCACATCGACTATTATTTATTGGAACAAATAATTTTGGATTTGGATTTGATCCCGTAGCCGACTCGACGCCGGAATGTGAAATTGCTTCGTTCTGGGATGATGTAAACCGACATTGTCAAACATCCCCTATCTCTGGCGGTTAATAGGCTGTTTGTATGAATGCGTCGAGCCAAATTATACTCCGCAAGCGGTAATTAAATGGAACAATGTTCCAATTTGGTATTTGTTGCAGTTAAGGATCATCGCTTTAGATCTTTAACCGTCTTTATGACTTGAAGACTACTGAGCAAAAGATGAGAAATTATTTGTTCACAACTCTATGACGTAATTAATTGATTTATTGGAAAACGACCTTTCCGCCAACTTTAAGGGAAACCTGAAGCTAGGAAACACGTGACTTTATGTTAGGGAAGATTTTCGTTTGCTAGACTACTAAGGTCGTCCCTAAGTCACTAAGTCTAGATGAACTATCTAATTAATTTCAATCTCAAAATTGCCCCAAAAATATACGAGAAAACAGCTCTCTCAATATTAGACTGACAAAAACTGTTTGTCAGTTTGATGCACTGTTTGTCAGTACCAAATATACCCAAAATCATTTGAATGACATGGGACCAAATTAAACACGAGATCCAGATGACACGAAATGAATGAAGAAATTAAAATTTAAAAGAGAGCCTTGGCAATGTACATGAGGAAACCTTGAAACTCTCAGGTGCCGAGGACGGGGTAGGTCTAAATCTAATTACGTCTATATTGAATCTAATGTATCGTACCTTTGTCACTTCTGAGCACCTAGTGGGTCGCCTGCAATTTGGCTTTAGAAATGGAATGGAATCTCGAGAAGCTATTTTCTTTTGGAATGTGCTGGTCCAAAGATGCAGACATGAATGGCGAAAGAAATAAATAATGAATATGATGAATATAATGAATATTAAAAAGCTTTTAAATACGTTTCTCATCAGAAAATGATCAGCATCCAAAAATCAAGCCTGATGGGCTTCATTGTAAAATGTAGTGAGCAATTATGTCTTTTCATGAATAGATCAGCGACCAAACTATTGACATGCCCAAAGACACAAAGATGCGTTAGCCTAAGGCTTTATCACTGATCAGAGGTCATCTCTAAAATACCTACGTTATTTAACTATGCGACCCAAAATCGGAGATCAGTTCTAGAATTGAGCAAGCACAGAAAACTCTGAACCAGATGAGGGCGCTTTAATCACAGTCCTGAACTCCGGACCAGAATACACAGAAAACTGAATGAACTGCGAATATCTTGAACGGAAAGTAAGACAAACATAACGGCTCTGGGCACGAATAAATTACAATCAAATAGAGAAAACCGCAATATCTAAGACACATCGCGAAAGGTCAACCTGAGTCGCGGTTAAGATCGCTTATAGATTTCTATAGATTCTCGTATTTTCCTTTGTTTGAAATTACATTCAAGAATTTTGGTTATATTAAGGTTCTTTCGTGTTCTTTCAGCCTAGGTGATATTTTCCTCCGGTTTCTCCAATGTATCACTTCTTGGGTGCCCCATTTCTAAAAAACTTTTAATAATTTAAAGCTATAAAATAAATCTGAAAAATGTAAGCGTAAAGCTATCTGGGATCAACCCATTCAACCCATTCATCCCTTATGACTCGGAGCGAATATAATATTTTCCTATGTCTGAAATGACCGCGCATGCTCCATTGAATGGCTCTTCTTTTTTCTTCATGGTGGCTTCATGGTGGGTTCAGCATAGTCAGGAGCCACTATGTATTTAGTAGCTACAGCAAAAAGCACAGTTCTTTACAAACGGGCTCTAGTTTGATTTTTAAAGCTGCCGCAAAGAAATATAGCTACTATTTTTTGCCTTTTTGTGGCTTCAGTCAGCTAAACTATATTCCAAACGTATTTTAAGCTCCTGTTAGAACTTTCACGCTATTGCTATATATAAAATAAATGATCACCAATAACTGTTAAATAGAAAAGCGTTTAATCTCTTCTTGATTTCAGGAAAGCAGTCCTCTCGAGGTTCATTTAGCACCAACCGGACGCGAACTAGTTCAGGCTCTTCGAGGGCTGTTGCTCCAAGCCCATTGGCATTCGTTCATCATACTAGCGGACTCATCTTCCGCGACAGCTTTACGCAGCCCTGAACTTTGGTCCGTTTTAGAAACGACACCTCTACGTCCCACTTTGGTCGCTTTGCCGAATCCGTTGAGAGCACAGGACCTGTTCAGGTAGGTGAAATACATTATTGATTGTTTCTGCCACCGACATTTTTATCACCAAATGAAACCCAAAATCGGTTCGTAAATCTTGTTACCACATCAGGAGTCCAGAGCTTTTTGCACAACGCAAGTTCATATAGTTGTGTTTTCTTGAAGATTTCGCTCTATTTATGTTTGTGTTGCACTCAACGTGTTTGATTTCTTATTTAATTTTTGTTATCTTAAACCAAACATATTTCAGAGGTTATTCGTATAAATCAAATTCACAAATCCCCAGATAAGTGATCTTTGTTAATGACTCACCCATTAAGATGGCGGTAGCTTTTACATTTCTAATTGCATTAGACCGTATCCGTTCCTAATCACAAATTATTCATCTTGTACGACAACTAATTCTACCCTATGTTAATGTGACAGATGTCCGGGTGCTCCCCTTAACCCCCGTCATGTTTCTGTAATTTGTATGATTCAATTATTTTTTCTCAAAAATGTTTTTTTTATATTAAACCTGTATCGGTTTGGAAGTCACCAGCTACCCAAAACAGTATATTTTGAAAAAAGACGTTTTGGCCTGAAAGCTGACGTCGACATATAATCCGTAGCAAAAATCTACCGAAAACATCCGATCGTACCCAAACCCGTCGCTAAAGTGTCGGAAATATCCGACCGTGGGTATCTTAATCCTTGCTCCTTGTTCAAAAAGTATTTAGTGTCTGTAGGGTCAGCCTGTAAAAAACATAGAACTTTATCATGTTATTTTTTGTGTTTTATCTGAAAGATAGAGATTTCCTACATTATATTCGACACTCTGTTGATAGAAAAAAACATCTCTTACTATTGTGGGTATACTTGTTTTTTTTAACAACTGGTAAAATAATTAACTTAACGACCCGATAAGGCAAATTATGTTCCGATTTCGCTGACAATATTGCAGATTATCAATCGCCTCACTCTATGGAAAATTAAACCAAAGTCAAAGCGCAAACGTTGCGTCAAAATTTGCATCCAAATTATTACACAATTCAATTCCGACGCTACTTCCCACAGCTTTTAGATGAATATTAATTATTCACTTCGTTGGCGTTTAAGAGAAACGATAGAATGGTATAATTTACCCAAAGTTCTTACAACTGCTTCGGGATATAATGGACCAAATAAAGCGTCATTCTGATGCGACCGCAACTGTATAAGTCGTACGTTTGGATCAGACAACTACAACTTTTAGATTTTAATATTTTTCGCTTTATTTTCGTTTATTCATATTTGTGTGGTATACTTTTAAATAAAAATTATTTTCTAGTGCTTCTTTCAAGTTGGATGCTGTCTGTTTTATCGGCCCAGAAAGGAAAGTATTTATTAAAATTAGTACAGTAGCCATAGTAAGCCAGATTTGGCGGGAAAATTTGAATTTTCGGGATCCGCATGTGCAGTATAAATCGTATTCGGCTATGCTCGGACCAATTCGCATCTGCAGAAGAGAGGAGAAAGTTTTGGGTAGGGTACGTGTAATAAACACCAGTGTAGCTTAGAACCGGCACTACTATACTACTATTAATCAAGTAATAAGAGAAGTTTCAAAAGAACTTTAAGACCAGAATTTCCTCAATGAAAGAATTCTTCTAAGAATGTTGTATGGGGTTGCTCTATTTTTACAATATGCTGGCAGAATTTCACACGTAACTTAAATATATTAATGGCCATTCCATCACACATTGCACCTCAATTTTCTCAGTGAGAGTTTTTGTCATATTTTTACAATATGTCGGCAAGATTTTACATGTAACAATGCATACATCACGTGTTGCATCTGCTTCTAATAGAAGTTATTTTTTATATTAAAACTTATAAATTCGCTGCTAACATTTGAAGTAACACGGATGCAATATATACATACTGTTTGGTAAAGTCGCAACATCGATAACAAACGCGCAAATTTGAAGCAAAATTTTCGGTTTTTCGGAGTGAAATTAGGCGGATATTAACGCGGTATTGCTGTGTATACGCTGCTGCTAGAGGCGACAATTTCATTCCGCCTAATTGTTTGTAATTGAAATTAATTACTAATCTACTGAGATTAGAGCTAATTAAAAGTTATGTAGCTGGATAAAATCTAAGACGATAACGTTTGACATTTTGGATTTTTTGGATAAATACACCTTATAATGAGTTGACGTTTATGTGCTAAATTTTGCAGCCAATATGTAAAATAAAAGTCAATAAATAAAAACTTTGTACTGTATGTAACCACAACGAGAACTATATATTAGATTTCAGGAAAGATGACGATTACTTTAGCAATGACACCAAGCGTTTCTTATGGCATTTGCTAGTTTCCTTACTCCGTCGACTCGGGTTGTCTTTCTTTAAACATGCCACAAAACAAGTTTTGAGGTTTGCCCGATCAATGACAAATCCAACCATTGTATATATTAAGCGTTGGAATCGTCATTGGTACTTTTTTTAAAGAACTTTGGACCTACTGAAAAAAGGAAAGTGGGGTTGTTATGTGGTTGTTTTTGTCACGTTGGAGACTAGCACGATAAGTTTGTCTTTTTACACTCTAATCAGCATCAACACGAAAATCATTTTTATTATTAACTAAATTGGTAAAATTATATTTAAATAATAGTTAAAACTAATTTTTTAATCACATAATTTGATAATTTACTCGGCCCATTTTAAATCACGGAAAATATTATTATTACAATTAAAAATTATAATACTAAAATATTAACTAAAAAAACACAAGACAACAACACTTCAGCTTTTATTTTTAATAATTATTTCATGCTTTGCGTATAAACTAAATGTCACGAATGGACAGGAATGACTTCTAAAACGATTTTGTTATTTACTAGGATACGCGAAAAACAAATGAAAATCGTAACGGAGCGGTTTTTCTTTTGTTAACTAAAGATGTTGATGATGAGTGTTGACTAGTAAATTTAAAAATAATAATTTACTAAATTACCTAGAAGTAATAAATGTAGACCATAAATAAAAAAAAATATGGTAGTATTCTTTAAAACATTGTTAAAAAAAACAAAATTTTTACCAAGAAATCAGTAACATTTTCATTTGTTAACTTAAAAGTTAGTTAACAATACAAAAATAAACAAATTATTTTATGTGGTAAATGTATTCTTAAAGTATAGACATTTGACCGTGGATGCTGTAAATTTCATAAATTTATCTCTTACGGTTGCTTAAAATTTACATTATAAAAAAATGTTAAAATCAAAATTTTAAAAAATGGTTTGGGGATCACTTTTCCATCATAAGTACTTATCAAAAATATATATAGGTTAAATTTTTATGATCAAGTGGTAGATGGGGGGGGGTCCACTTGACGTGCATGAATTAGATACATATCTAGTGACCCAATGAGTCACTACTTTTCTTATTATTATTTAGTGCCTGTCGGCTAGACTGAAGTAATGGCTGAAGTTTAACATAATTTGCTTATCTTTAATTCAAATTTTTTTCCGGTATCCACACTTTACATAGGTTTGGTTGATCCTCTCTGTGAAAAATGCATTTAGTGACTATTATCAATGATTATTGATATTGGCACTGGTTAGACGAGTACTTTCTGTTGTAAATGTCTCTGGAAATAGGGAGACATAAGGATAACAGGCATGTTGTTTTTTACTCCCTTCTCTAAAATATCTAATTATACAACGATGGAGCTTATGGAAAGTGTCATTTTACGACGATAGTTTCTTATCTACAGCTGCGAGCCACTTCGGACATTTCCGGGATTTTACTGATGGGTTTAGGAGCGATCGCAGGTTTTCGGAGTTTAAACTTTGACGTTTGTCAATTCTGATGGTCATGTCATATATCAATCAAAAACTGACAGTAGTAGAAAAACTTTAGGATTGTGTATAAAATCCGGTTCAAAATCAGCAAAAATAAGATTTTAATATCATGTACTTTAAATACTAAAATCTTGAGGAACATTGTTTATATAACATTATTGTTGTAAATTAATTTTGGAAAAGATTCATTGGTTAGTTCTTTAGATCTTTTAATAATCAAAAACAAAACACCAAAATTAATCAAGAAGTTAAGCTACATACTAAATTGGCACCCCGTAGCATATGTATTTAAATACATAGTGCCATGAAATCGTACGGCGTTTAGCAAGTATTTGCTTAAATCTGCGTGTGTATATTCAAATCCTACGCGGCTAGAAAAATATTCCTACGATCTTTTATCAGATTCCGAAACATTTAAATTCAAATATCCACCGTAATATATTTCCCTTGTAAAGACGCGTTCTACATTTTTACATCCGACAAGTTTATCTGGCCACAAAAACGTTAAAAATGGGCAAAGGCATCTGGAAGAAGACGCGGGTAGATTCGCGTTATTGAACGGCGGAACTTTTGCATAAACATTAAGTATATTCCGAAGCGAAAACGAAGGTATAAAGTTTGTTCGCCAATGTGATAAAAATATCTAGAAAATTTTGACTGCACGGGAAATAGGAAATGTTAGACGGCATCGAGTATTCTACCGGCTACGCGAAAACTTTTCCAGCCGGATATAGTTGCTATCAGGCGTTAATAAAATTGAGGTATTCCCTTCTCCTTTTTTTTCTCTTTCGGAGCGACATTCTGTAAAATGTAAAACTCGAAGAATGTGGATCCGTTCGCGACACACCGACATTTTTAGTTTCCGTGATGGATATAGCGTTTTTAGGTTAAGTTTAAGGCGACGTCATGCCAACAAAATTTATCGAGTTGCCGCAAGTAGAGAGAGGAGGGTCTTTCTAAGACCTGCGACAGGTTATCCACGATCTACGATCGTCAAAAATATTTTTTAGTGCCAAGAATAATATTTATTACCCCATCTGTCGCGTTGAATGTCAAATATTGTTTGATGCGGAACTACGGAGAGTAACACTAAAGAAGAGTGGAGTAAACTCTGTGGAAACAGCTGCACACACAGCGATGGTGGCGTCGCCCTAGTGAGAGAATTTTGAAATCGACACTATGGTGGAA